GACAAAGTATGACAAAGCAGTAATTCCCGGTTTAATGCGCAAATATGCAAATTAGCCTTTTTCTCGTCTTCAATTTTTGGTGAATTCTTGAGTTTTAAATTAAAATAGCTGATAGACGCTTTGGCCATTTGCCTCGAAATTTTCACACATTATTGACAAGGTGTCCCTCCTTCAAAATGCGTCCGGACAGTTTATTACGGCGAGTGGAACAAAAATAACAAGTCCGCAATTAACATGGATATATAAATTATGCAAAAATAGAAAAGAGTGAAATTTGAGGTCATGCTGTGCGACTTTGAAAGCCGTTAGAGAGATGAGTGGACGCATTTGAATTAGTAGTATACCAAGGTCTCCAGTGATGTAATTTTACCCACAAACGGACTTGAAGTTTTTAAGCTAATTTTTTTTAAACCACTTTTGTCCAAAAAAGCATATTTTTGACCCAAAATCAAAAACGCATTCTGGATATTTAAAATAAAGACAAGTTTTACAAAGTTTGTATAATAAGCTTTCAGAAAATATTTAACATGTTGAATATATAATACCATCTTCATTGTCTAATTACTCAATTAAAAAGCAAGCCAAATAAACTGCATCTCTACCTTAAAAGAAAGCAATTTGCATATTCAAACCCAGGAACAGTGGCACAGATCAGTACGCAAAACCATATGGTGGCCGTCCCACCAAAAATATCAAAGTGTGAGCAACGCAGTAAGTATTTGGTGCTACTTAATACATCAAATGGTTGTTAATTGCCTTCATTTTAATACCGAAAATGCCAATAAGTGACGATGATTTCCATAATAGCGCCCTCTGCGTCAAAACCAAAACATAAAAAAAAACTGATTTTAACTATAGAGGGCCAAAACCACCATGAGAGAGAGACCTATTTTTCAGAGTATGTTCTGATATTTATATATCGCCAATACTCACCAGGCCGGCACTTGTTACAGCAATTGTCACCGATAACATACTGTCTGTCTAAGCATGCCCCAGTCGACACCGGAAAACTAAATACACCATACAACGAGCTCCATAACAGCAACTATTTGAAAATAATAAATCGATCAATACGTTAGCGCCTTATCCACTTACGTTAATACAAGAACGTGTCGAACTGGAAATGTTTCCTGTCGAACTGAAAATATACGTGGAATTATAAAACACTCAATTAATACCAACAAATATTCCATAGCCCATACAAACTCTCGCCATGCAGTATTTTATATATATATATATATATATTTACCTACTGATAATCCTGGTGTATGCATGAAAAAGGTCACAACATAAATATAAGACACTTAATACAAAGTACTGATTAGTTGTTATGATAGTTAAACAGTGAACAGTAGTCAGGTTTTGGGTTCACTAGTTGCTTTGGTTACTATGCACTATCTCACTAGGGGGTTACTATACTTCCGGTCATCGATAATAACATATATATTGCACATTGTTTTCTTTTGCATTAACAACCATGGTACAGTGCATATATTCGTATATCAATCACGTCACTGGGCAGCTGCCTAAAGATTCTTTAGAATAATCTCATACAAACACGGCCGAAAACAGAGGAATAAACAACTTCATATTGGATTCAAATTCAAGACTGTGTGTACAGCAATACCCAGGCCTAAGTTGAAACCAACATGTCCCGGGGATAATGGCTATGGCGCAGTGCAAATAACGACGCTAAAAGACGGGGTTTGGAAAATATGTCACTGGCTACTACATGAGTAACACCGGAAAATATAAAATCATAGTTCTGATGTCCATATACACAAGTCAAATAATTAAACTCCTGATTGTCCCCTGATGGCAGCAATGGCTGGCATTATAAACATTACTGTATATCGCGTGATTGTAGCCCTACCCAACACATGTGATGTGATGTAAATATTTGTTTACTTCCCAGGACGTTGACCTCTTAGTAGTGTACGTGTTTTGAGGTATATTTTGCTATCAAACATGATTTGCCACTTATGTATCTTAGTATTTATATAGGGGGAAGGAACAGTACTAGTACTTAAACACTCGCGTTGTTAAATATACGTTGTTACACTGTGCGTGTGTATAAACATTGTAATGATACATATCCGGTGTCTTACCAGCACTGCGCCATTTTGTTTTTTGGACGTTCAAAGAAATAAATTAAGAAAACTAAAAGGCAATCATAAAGTTTCTGCTTTCTAATTGGTCGATAAACATATGATCAATAATCAAAACAACTTCTAAGAATAATCTCATACAAACATTACCGTCAAGAGCATGGAGTAATAAACACTAACGATTTTACATTGGATTCAAGTTCAAGACTGTGGATACAACAATACCCGGGCCTAAGTTGAAACCACAATGACCTGTTTGATCATGTTGATTTACTGATTCGAATCCAATCAATTTTGATTGAATCAGATCATACTATATTACCGTGTGCAATACTGACGACTGTAGGATAATGGCTGTGACGCAGTACATTTGACGTGACAAAACAGGTGGCGTTAGGACAATATGTCACTGGCTAATACATAAATAACACTTACCGAAATACAGAAATATCGAATCATAGTTCTGATACCCATTTACTTAAGTCAATCAAAGTCTTTAGTCCTGTGTATGTGCTCGAATAAACTTCTCGATTGTTCTGTGGATTGCAGCGATGACTTACATAAAATAGTGCATCATGGGATTGTAGGTCATGATCCTTGGTACTTTATATGCCCAGGACGTTGACCTGTGTAAGTACAGCGTGCAGCACATTTTGCTGACAAGATAAAACAGCTTGCAATTTATTTATCTTAGTATATATGTATGGGGGAAAACTTAAAAAAGGAACAGTACAACCAGTATAACATTGAATCAAGTACTGTTGTATTTTGATGATTCAAGACAGTAACGTTAATAATAGTATTTGTAATGATACATTTTACATTACATCTTGTAACGGGTCACTGGAATGCCTCATCCCATAGATAGATCAATATGTGTAGTTCTTATTTGGATTGGTCAAACTAGTGTTTTACTGTCGAGCATTACTCTGCTTTAGAAAATCTGAATCTATATATATAACATTGCATATTTCCAAAACAGTCTAAAAACGACATGGAACTTCTGAGAAACATCTTATTACATAGTAATGCATTTTGGAATAAAGCATTGTTCCTGGTTACTGGTGAATGAAACACATGTAAATTGTTATTTTTCAAACTATTACCAATAGACATATATGCCATGGTGTTTTAAAGCAGAAGGGGTCGTCAACTGCGCATGCGCGGGAATGGGTCCCACGCGTCGATAACAACGCACGCTAAAAACGCAAAGGTTCATGGATAGACGCTTGATTGTAAAACAACGCTGATTTTCAATGTTTGCCCTAGAATTTCAGATTCGGTTATTTCGAACCCTATCGGCAATGCCGATCACTTGTTTTATTCATTCTTGTCTGTGGCGAATGAACCACGTAGATGGTTTATGGTGCCTTCAATGTAGCTCAACACGTTCATGTGCGAAGGCGCATTAATATTTAAAGGCCCGGTTCCACTGCACTTATGGATACAAAGGTGAATTGCGTGGAGCGTATGCATCTCGTATTTACAGTATTACAAACGGACGAAGCGTTTGTATCTGGGATGTATCTCGTATATTTAGGATTTCGGAGTTGTCATCCACTTTCATCCGCTTTCACCCGCTAGGCGTCAGATAAACATCCGTTTAATATCCTTGCTACATACTACCCATGTCCGTTCTTGTCCGGTCTGTTTTCGAAAATTGTGTCCATTTCTGAAGCGCATGAAAACTGATGGAGCCAACCTCGGAATTTTGCTCGTCCGCTGTGTTCTCTTTGCATACATTTTGTTTCTATTGCCCTTAACATACTGTCCAATACCACCATCACCAAAACGCTGCTTTCAAATGCCTGGTGTCACATAGTTATCTTGATTTTGTTAACGCAGGTTATATTTCGGTCAAAAGTCAAGAGATTATACTGTTTATCTGCGGTAACATACTATAATTGAGGTGTGAATTGCGTGGAGCGATCTCAACTCATAGCGAATACCAATACAACGAATAAATACGATTCGATGCCACGTATTACTCGTGTGATGTCCCCATGCCAATGTATATGCTGTAATCGATGGTGCTGCAGTATGTGGTTAAATTAAGTATCAGGCGTTAATATAGTTGTGTACATGGTGAGAGTGGGCCGCGTAGACTGTGGATATCATTCAGCCGATTGCAGCAGATGTAAGAATCGCCCTCTAGCGACGATGAAATTCCGCTTACAATAATTTAGGACACCGAAAAAAAAATAGATATTTTTTTTGAGGGCATATTTTTTTATTTTTGCATTGGTTTCTATATTAAGTTTATTTGTTCGTATCTCAAGTGTTGCTCGGTGTCATGAGATTTCAGTGTATTTTTTATTATTATTAATATGAATAATAATTGTGTTAGAGCTGTTGATACTATCCCTCACATATTCTACTCCCAATTACTCCTGCGTAAAATGGACTAGTCTCTTTTCATGTTGACATTCAGAGTAAAATCATGTGACAGGCTGTTAAAATTTGTCTTGCATTATGACTGAAAGAAGCTGGATGAAATTACAAACTATGTAGTGTGTTCATGTATGAACAATAACTTTAATAAATATGATTTTACTTAACTTGGATATATAATACTGTATTTTTCCCGCATAAAACAAAAGAATTTCACAATGTCGAAAACAGAAAGTCTTTCTCTGGACACCCTAAAGTGCGTTCCTGCGTCCTTGCGTTCGTGCGTTCCTGAGTTCTTGCCCATATTTGTCTAAATAAATAAAATAAATAAATAAATAAAATTAAATACCGGTATAAAATTGTATTTACGTATACTGAACAGCATGTGTGCAGTTATTGAGATCTAGAAGCTTCCAAGTATTATTAAAGCTTGTCTGTTTTGGCATGCCTGACAAAATATACTAGAAATTAAATTCATTTTCTATTTAATTATTGTGAAGAGCTTAATCACAAATTAGGTTTTATATTGGATTTTAATTATGCAAATGTCTGCATGTTTATGGAATGGACAAACATGATTTGATAAATACTTCTCGATATATTACATTTTCAGTTACGCATGCATGTTTTTTGTTCAAAAACATCTTTCATTTCATGATAAATCAATAAATTATTTTATTTTTGCTTTCCTTCTTTTCTATTACTAGTATTGTGCTTTGTGACAGTGTTGCATACTTAGATGAAAACTCACTGATTGTAGCTATACTACTTCAATATGCTGTATATTCTGACAAGCTTTCACCGAAGACCCGGTTTTCCAGCCATCCTGTTTTTTAATTTGTAAAGAAATTAAATAACTATGTAATTTTGCAAGATATTTTGCGTATTATGAAAACCTGCCACTAAAAAGAGCTGAATTGCCATCATTATCATTAGAGGCTTGGCCGAATAAACTTAGACCTTGGCTAGCGAAGATGTACATGCACATTCTTGTCCTTTGCTGCAAACTTGTTTGTGCACTCTTGTTTGTAATATTTATATGTTGTTGTTTTTTGGTATTTCTAAACATCGAGTTTATTTTTGATTGACATTCAAAGAAATCGTTTGAATTTTAAATTTGATGGTTGGTTCGAATTTATCCCCTTTACAGTGATTCGTGTGGCGTTCGTAGCCTGATTTACATTTTTCTTGCGGTATTTTTTTCTTCGTCAATGTATTAAATATAAGTGCGTTGGGAAATAGCATAATTCTATTGCGTGAGTGAAAGAGGCTGGTGAGACTGTGTCACAACCTGTTCTATTTATTTCCAACGCGCGTGGTCGGCGCCTCTGGTTGCTTTTATTTTGTATTTTTATTTTAGAAATGTATCCGTCACTGGCTGCGTTTGTTTTGTCATGTCTCACAGCTGAAAGTCTAAGCTGACTTTGTTTTGGCTGTAATCTACGATTGGCAACCTGTTTTGGGTTAAAAATTTATGATTGTTGACAAACGTTGGCTTTTGGCGCTCAAAGTGTTTAGTACTGGGTTTCTACAGCAGACTTTGTCTTTTGAAAATATCCTGGGAGCTAAACATAGCTCTCCTGAACACAGTCAGGGTTTGAACGTCACGTAGACATCGATGCTCAATGAATTCACCTTGGTACTTTTAATATTCCCTGTGCATGTTCCTATATGCTAAGCACAATTCATCATTTTTTGCCTATCAAATTGATGCCCTCTTAATCCCAAAGTTCTAGTCTCGCACTTTTAATAAACATTTAAAAAACAATTCTAGCAGAATTTCTAAGCGAATGTAATTTTATACTTGTCCCATTGATATGCAATCTTTTCAACAAAATCTTTAATTGAAAATCCCAGAATTGAAGGTATAATTTACCAATTAGTATCCAAAATAAATCCGAAAACTACAGGGATATCACTTTATCGCCAATTATCTTCAAAATTCAATAATCCCGCCTGTTTTTTTCGGTGGGAAAATTGTGCCCAACTCACAGAACAACAGAAAATGCAGTGTGATAAAATATCTTTGCGTTAACGTCGAGGGTTTAAAACACGCCTTCTTATAAAAGTACAAATTATAAATAAACTGCTAAAGTTATCTACATTATCGCAAATTCAGATTACATGTAAACTGTCAATTGTGAAGAATTGACGTACGTTTTTTATATAGAACACTGTAACGAGCTCACAGTATTAGGCATATCGTAACGGTTGGAGAACATAATAAAAAGTAAGGGGTCACAGAATGAAGCCCTGGGTACACCAGATGTAACATTTGTTCAAAATAACGTCGTGCCCCAAGAATAACGCGTTGATTACGATTGATCAAAAAGTGAGCCAATTATAAATATTTCTATGGATTCTGTAATAGTACAATTTGTGTATCAGTAATGAGTGATTTGCACTGTCAAATGCCTTGGAAAAATCATGATATACTGATTCCACTAGACTATCATAATCAAGTTAAGTTGTAATATAATCCACGTAATCGACACGATTAGTAACGGTAGAACGACCCTCCATAAACCCGTGATGACAAGTATTGATAGTGATCTGGACATGACTGTGTAGTCATTTCAGATTATCCTAATCACAAATGTTGATGATGAAACTCTGATTAATGGTGGTAAAGATATTGGGGGACAGTTTCATGCATCAGAACGAACTATTATTGACGAAATAATAAAATACAATGAACATTGGAATGCATAAATTATAACATCGTCCGAATCGCACGGTCCCGTGTCTTCGACCTATAGGCCTCTACACGATACCGTGCGGTATCGCATAGGCTTAAGCAGTGAGATCTGATTGGGCGGGCCTCGAAACAAGGCCCCCACTCAGCTTGGACGTATCAAATTATAAAACAAAATTCCACTTCCTGTTTTTGTCTCTATGAAGACATCCTTCCCACACAAAACCGCGTCCATTGCCTTACCTGATGAGGCTTGAGAGCACCAACACCGAAAACTTTCGCAATTTTATCATCACAAATATCACGATTCATTGGCTCCGCCATTTTGTTTAAAATGAAACGCCAAAGGGGGATTTGTAACACGCAAACTGATTGGACAATGATTAGCCGCCCATAAATACTGGCGACGCTGTTAGAATACGCATATTTGATGGTCGTTCTGCCAAGGTCTGTTTAGAGGCTTGGCCGAATAAACTTAGACCTTGGCCAGCGAAGATGAAATTATAAGCGTATTTCTGCTTGTGTTTATACTTTGCAAGGCTAGCGAAACATGGCCGGTCGTTAATGAACGCATTTGGGAAATTATTTGACATCTTGGTGCGAAAGTACTTTGCAAAAAAAATGTCAGCGGTTGAATCAGGAGTGCAGTTACCGTAAGACACATTGTTCGAACAGCTCTTACTGTTATTTTTAGTATTAATGAAACTGTAAATTGTTGAATTGCAGGTATATATTCTTCGTAGACTGATTTAAAACCAGCACGAACACCAGAAAACGTAGGTATAGTAAGAATGAATTTCATGTGAACAAAAAATGTATTTTACACGCGTTGTGTACGTCGCTATGAGTCCCATGTCGAACAGGACGCGGCGCGAAGATCACCGCCAGTTTAACGAAAATAGCATTGGCATAACCAAAGACACTAGTGTCTTTGGCCTTTTATAAATCTTACTAGCGTTGCTTAATCTATTGTTGATGGCGAGTATTTATAGAAAACGGTCAAAGGTCAGACTTATTTGAGATGCATCCGGTCGGTTCAGCAATCGTGCCATCAATAGCACTACACCAGGCTAGACCCGGAAGGTTAAAATCACCGCACTTTAAAATAACATCGTCGGCTTCAACAATTGCAGAAAAACGATCCAGCCATTCGTTGGCTACCGTTTAAGTCCAACTTTCAAAAATAACCTGTGACGTATTGACGGGTTTAAACACGTTTCGAAGAGGGTAATAATATCTATAATCAATAAACAATTCATGGAATACTAGAAACTATTGATTGAATTATTACTCCAAGAAAGGAGACAAGTCTGGTCCATATAATTAGAGCGGTATTCTTTATTGTATTTTTCAATTTAACATTTAAAAAAAATTATAGCATGTTATTATTTGTATGTAATTTTCATGTTTCTTTATTATTCTGTATATTCTTTGACGTTATACTCTGTTTTTCTTGCGCCAATGGCATATGATGGGGTCAACGGCCTAGACTGGTTCGACTTTAAATAATCAATTGTTATTAAAATGAAAACAAGCTCAACGAACGTACGCCTGGATGAACTCTCCATTCACGTGATCACCAGCCCATTCAATCTGTACAGAACCATTGACCTCGTTTAATGGCGGAATACAGTCGAGGCGACAGGGATACCGTTTCTGTATCGATCAATTTGAAATGATGCTGTCCACATTCATCGCAGTGTTCTGATCGTTCCACTAACGTTAGTAGACGTGGTTCAATGTGCAGGTAAGAAGACGGAGACATTATGTTGGCATGGATAAAGACGGTAGTTACCATGAACGCGTCGCAAATGGTCTTCGATTCTTGGCAATGCATTGCTATACAGGTTGACTCAGTATTTAACTAATTAACCAGGGTATTAACAACCGACACTCTTGATTTCACTAATAGTTTCTGCACTAAATAATGAGTTACATTATTATAAAACAAAACAAAACCGTGTGCGTGGGTTCTGAAAATGTTGCAAGCGTTGCATTGTTGTCCACTCAGAAGAAAACAACTCTGCTTGATAACACTTTCGTTTGCGCGTGCGTGTAATTGATTCTCAAAATCTAAATAACTATATGAACTCGCCGAGACGTTAATGTGAACTTAGACGTAAAGTTCGGAATAGATATGTGGGAAAATTATTCATATAGTTTAATTATTTGCAATGTTTTTTTTAATGTACACAACAAAAGTGAATTTCTTTATATAAAATCTACTCAATGCCTGTGAATAGAAGCCAGAATTATGTGACCGCCTTTAATAATTTCTTTCCTATCTTGTAATGTCTTACTAATACTGCTGTACCCGATGTCAACTAGCTCCAGTCTAGGGCGGTGCCCAACTTCGATAGAAACATGTTAGGTCGCAAATTTTTGCACAATAAATGAGTCAAAAGGAAAACAGAATTTAGCCTGATCCCTATCGGTACTGCAGTATATCAGTGTTACGTCATTTAAAACAATAGCATAACGTAGGTATAAGTGCAGCCAACTAATCTTGTAATTTACCATGTCGTTACTACCAAGTAGAATATTTATCATAGCACACTTTTAGGTTATGTCTATGTAATAGAAGATGTTTTAGTAAAACTGCCGAAGAAATAAAGAAATAATTTAATCAAACATTGTCACCTTAGCTAAAGTAATCGGAAAACATTATGATACTTTACTAATAGTGTTTGACCACTGTATTCTTACGTGATGAAAAACCCATATTGGTCATTTGATCTGGAAATCTGTTGCATATAATAAAAGAAAATCAATCTCTGAAATTATTTCTGTTTTATTCAACAGGATTATTCAGTCGTGCATATTCAGTTGTTTTGTCCATTTTGTGAAGAAAATACTTGTTGACATAAATTTCTGTAATGGTTGTGGTTTTACAGAAGTTTCACTTTGACTTTCAGAAGGTCACCACAGCGTTAATGTGTTACCATAACAATGTAGTGTTTTGCAATGTGATTTCAGTGTTTAAGAAGGTATGGCGCATCTACGGGGATATAACCGCGTTATTGGTATCGTTAGAACTACAAATTGGACGAATCGAAAAGTGACAACTATCACAAGTACACGTGCAGGTGACCACGTCGTCAAAACCACGCATTATGCAAACGCCAGACCATTCAAAGAGATACCAGGACCACGCCCTCTGCCGGTGATTGGGACTGCATACGAGTATTTACCTTTCGGTGTGTTATACTTAGTATTTAACTAATATAGTAAGCGGCATTTGCCTTATATCCCATAATGCAATCCATATAAGTTCGTCATTTCCCTTTTGCGGACACTGCATGACGTCATTACTGTACACGTTCAGGAGATTACTCCACTGCATTTCATTGGTCCATGCATAACATAGTGATTTTAAATTCGGGAAAAAAAATCACGCAACATTTTTAGGTTCGAAGTAGATTCTAAAGTTGATAGGGTGGCAGGGTGCATGCTTATAAAATATAATGCACTGGGAAGTCTATTATTCTTCATTAAAAATGCACCAATGAATTCGGATGTGAATCTTAACTCGATATTTTTTTGAAACATTATTCCTAACATTTCAGGACCATACACATTCGAAACGATGTATGAGCACGCCATGTTCGATAAGCAAAAGAAGTATGGAAATATTTGGAAAGAACCGATGTTGGGGCGCCCAGCTGTTTTTGTTGTCAGACCGAAAGATATTGAGACAATGTTCAGAAATGACGGCAACATGCCAAAAAGAACACCACTTGATGCAATCACCCGAGTCAGAAAGATGGCTGGACTATCCCTTGGTCTTGGAAATATGTAAGTATTTCACAATTAAAGTAGAGCTGACGTGCATGCTAGTATTTACTAACACACTAACACATGCAATATTATTATGGAATAGAGGTTGGAAGTAAAATTATGGTTAAAAAAAGATGGAGAAACCAGGTATTCTACTGTTATTATATTGATTTAGTATTTTGACGATTTGACATGATTACATGCAGTTATCGTCTTATTAATATGGCTTTTAACTTTTAATGTTTAATTTTAGTCTGTGTCACTTCATTTTAATTTGCCTTCCACTTATAAAAATGTTACCTGTGCCAAAATTAATTAAATTTACTGCAAATATGCAAATCAAGATTGTAATAAAAATAGCAAAACATAATAATCTTGTACAAAAAACGACAATTACACCATTTTACATTGTAGGAAAATATATTGTTTTAAAACAATCTTTCTAAAAAACAGCGATGAACCATTTTTTCCATGCCCAAAATATTGCTTGCGTGAGTATATTCTTCAAGTTCGCTTTTGACAAGGGTCAGTGGCACAAACATTGGTAAAAATAAGTCCTAGTGTTAGTTACTGTAGATACGAAAAAAGCCCCGTGGTTTTTCCATAATATTAGCCCGTTCTAAACACATTGAAACGGGGGCACACTTCATTGGCCGGGATACTTAAAACAAGAATTCGAAATCACTAGACAAAAAAAAAAACTACCATGATGTAACTCATCGTTGCTTCGAAAATTTCAACTTTGGTTAACCAAATTTTGGGCCACTAAACAAATATACGATAATGTTCCTCTAGAAATGAATTCGAAATAGAATATTGGGTAGTACATTCGTAATTTTTAAAACGTGTAATGATACAACTTTAAGTATGGGTGTGAAGTGAAACCTTTCCTTGTTATTAAGGGTTGGGTCCTATGAACGCACTAAAAGTGAAGACTAGAACATGAAACTCCCTTTACAATGCTTTCAGAAGAGCCTTTTACGCAACACGTTTATAAATTGAATTTGAATTTGAAAACTGCCGTTGACCAATCCGAACGATCACCATGACGTCACTGCGGATGAATACACGCTCCTGAAATGGACTACCCAGTATGCGCGTGTGTAGAATCTGATTGGCTTTGCGGCACATCGCCGTATCAGCCATGTTAGAAGTAATCTATGAAGTTAGAAGTACGCAAAACCAATAGATTACGTGTAAAAATATTGTACCTCACAGTGTGTGGTACTCCTTGTTGTCGCTGTCAGGTTAATATACCGGCAGTAGCTTATTTTGGCCACAACAAACATTTACACAGACACAAACTTTGTTGCCCGTCGTTCTTAATTCAAGCTAACCGACCTGAAAGCGCAGGTAGACGACAAATGGCATTCGTCAACTATTATTACAAATATACAGGCGGTTGTATGGTGGATGTTGTCATAATAGTGCACTCCGAACAACATTCCACTTAGGGTGACATGTGTTTTATATAGAATGTACACTTAGTATTTTATTTTTCACACTAAACAACTGACCAAGTGCATGTTTTTTTATCTGCACATTCCCAATTGTTGTATTCATTCAATATTTACGAAGGCAAGGTAAAGAATGGCGTCGAGTAAGAAGCAGTGTTCAGAGATACGTGTTGAGACCAAAGGAAATATCAAAATTCCATCAAGACTTGGACGTTGTTGCTGAGGATTTCATTCAGTTGATGAAAGAACTGCTTGTAGAAAATGGCGAAGTCCCAGATTTTCAGAATGAAGTGTATAAATGGGCGTTGGAATGTAAGTATGTAGGGTAATGTAGTTGCAAACTAGACAATGTCTCAAGAGCGCAATACCCTACTACAGCTGTAAATTAAATATCCTATCTGATAATGTAAAGAAACATTCCCCAAATCCCCATTTCTACCAAATATCTAATTAATTGCTTCTCACCTCAAACAAAGCGCTCTGGGGAAAAGAAGAACCCTTCCTAAAATCTCTCTCTCCATGACATTTTGATGTAAATCTTTCTCAAAGTCTAATCGAGTAGTCATTATTTTTATTGTTATCAAGCATTGATAAAGGGACGATTGATCCACCCTCCTAATAATGCCATGAAAATAGATCCACATTTTTTAGTTGTCCTGCAAAAGGTCAGAAAAAAAAGAAACAAACCAGCACCGAAATAAAACAAGACAAAGGCAAGAACAACATAAACATAAAACTATATTGATAACTCGGATTAAAAGAACTTGCCAACCACTGTCACCAATTGCCGTATTTCTTCAAATTCAACCAATCAATCAATCAAAAGGTTCCCAGTTGTTCCAGTAGTATGTGGATATATTATACACAATTTACTTAACATCATTCATAAACACCATAGCTTTTTTTTGAAAAAAAATCTTATACATGGTGCCTCCAAGGTGTATGGTATTTCAGAATAACGTACTTTTGTTTTGTTTCAGCTGTATGTTTCATTGCACTTGAAACACGCCTTGGCTCCCTCTCACCGCACATGGATGCCAATACAAGAATGATCATAGACAACACTCATGCCTTTTTTGAGACCATGGGCAAGCTGACTTACTCAGCGGGTCTTCACAAGATAATCAGTACTCCTACATGGAGGACGTTCGTCAAAAGCCATGAGATATTATACAGGTATGTGTGCATCATGTAGTCATGGCAATATTGAGATAAATACAATGTATTTCTTTTTCTATTTAATTTCATATTTGTGCTTTTCACGCTGGATTGTCAATTTTCTGCTCAACTATACTGGGACAAAGACAGGGGAACATATCACGTTATCTATTTGCCATTATAGAATGATAAAGAAGCCAATTGATGCCATCATACATTTGATTAATGAAGGGAAGATCGACAAAGGGGAAAAGAAATTCCTAGTTACGTTATTATCAATGGAAGATATCTCTTATGAAGACGTAATGATCTCCGCATATGAATTAATAACCGGTGGCATTGAAACAGTACGTTTTAATAAAACATAATACACTTTACATAATCACAAACAAGGACATTTTTAACTTCCGGTGAGTGAGAAAGCCACGCGACACCCTTCCTCCTTCCTCATTAGTGTTCCACTCTGTTTCAAATACAAAGGCACGTTTGTGACACTAGTTTGTTGTACGTATGTTAGGGTCCTCACTCGAACGAGTATTCCCTATATCATTTGTAAAACCATGATTTGGATCTGAGGACAATACAGGGTCGATACTGTTCACGAGTTTCTAAGAGGTATATCACAATGTATGCTTGGTTAGTATTATAACTTTTGACATTTTTGTCTTGAATCCATTCGTATGTCATGAACTGCGAACTGGTCGTATGAGGTAATTTTAAAGTTTCTCGTGTCGATTTAGCGTTTAGCCTTATAAGTTGAATATAAACAATTAATACTCGTTTGTTTATTGTCTCCAATTGTATTTAGACAACTCACGCGTTAATATTCAACTTGTACAACTTGGCAACAAATCCCGAAAAACAAAAGAAGTTGCACGAAGAATTGGTTGGAGACACTAATCAGGAAATGCGTTATTTGAAGGCATGTATTAAAGAAACTTTCAGGTAAATGTACGATTATTACCGTTTACATTTTATAATTCGTGGACCTATATGGAATGCTAACAGTTATTGTTATTGTGAATATATCTAGCGATGTAAAAACTTGTTGTGTGATATTATATATGCTGTTTAATCGCTCAATTTAGCACAGGATGTATATACTGGGCAAATTAAACAAAGAAATACTTTATGGAGTAGTCAAAAAATATAACTCGTTCAACTGTGCATCATACACTGTATTACAGATTATTCCCTTTAACATTGGGAAACACAAGAGATACAAGCAAAGATATGGTCTTGTGCGGTTATCAGATTCCAGCAGGGGTATGTTATACAGTGAATACGTTGTTCTGATTGGGCGAAAACGTGTTAATTATACGATTACAAAGTAATTATACAATCCATGGTATAATTATACAATCCATGGTATAATTATACAATCCATGGTGTAATTATACAATCCATGGTATAATTATACAATTCATGGTATTTGCTACGGATTTCGCATTCAGAATTACGTCTAAACGTGAATGACACGCAGAAGGGGGTAAATTCTGCTACTCACTGAAAAGGACAAAACAATAACAATTTGTGATACAGACATAAAAAAACAGCATTGTGACCCTCGGATATTTGGGTTCAAAAGAGGTGAGCGAAAAAGACACAATTTCGTTCATCACGTTTCGTATTTATTTTAATTTGTCTGTGGCCAGGTAAGGAGATATGTTATGACCTTGACGTTCGATAAGAAATCAATCACTACTATTATAATCGTATTACGCATGTATTACAGACGACAGTTATAACTCCTCATGTGGCTAACAAACTTCCAGAATATTTCCATTCTCCTGACGAATTCCTCCCAGAACGCTGGCTAAGAGAAGGGGGCATGCAAAGAGACACGATGCCTTTCACAGTTCTTCCGTTTGGA